AAGAAAATGTAATGAACTTGACCATGAAAGTAAAGCTTAAGGCCTAACAGGATTCCAAGATCGTTAACACTTTGGGAATAGACTTCTAGTTTGTTAAGTAATTTGTAATTAATTCTGATTTTTAATTTTTCAATTGATTTCTGTTAATCCATACTGGTACAACCATCAGGTATAGAAAAGTAAAAAAGGAATACAAGACAGTACAATATTAATAGTAATAAGACATGCAACCATTAAAAGATTTTGTCGAAAAAAAAATAATAAAAATAGTAGAACAGTGTAAATATTGATACAATGATGTTACGATTAACGTCAGAAATACTTATCTAGTGTTATGCATAGAAATCATTCACAGTATAAAAAGAATGTTCATGCAAATAATTTTTAATGCTTTTTTAAAGCTATTAATATCACATGCCAAGTCCTTAATGTCAGCCGTAAGATTGTTTTATATATATACATATATCTGATTTTGCAAAATTATTTATTGCTATTCATGTGAACTGTTGGTTCGAAAGGCGTATAGGTTTGGCGGACAGAGAGGCACACATAGGATGGTATAGTAGCATTCTATTTTATTGATTATGTTGTCGGTGCTGGTGACCGTTTCTCATTTAGTTAGGCAACGCCTCCGTAGAGATGGCAGTAGAAATGTCACGTGACGTCAAGGCGGCCATGTTGTCCACCATTAACGAAGGGTTTCAAGGTGTGGGAAGGAGTTCAGTGACTAATACCTACTGTTTGAGTATTACATCTTCATTTTAAGCGATTCGCTTGTGCCTTTTGTTCCATCGCTTAGAACCGAAAGCCTAATCATGCCTCGTATAATGATAAAAGGTGGAGTGTGGAGGAACACAGAGGTAAGCAATGATAGGTATTTCTAGTTGCTTGTGAGGTTATGTCATTTTGACGGTGTCTAATTTTGATATATTAATATGTATTTTCTGATATGAAATTTCATTATATAAATCAGGATGAGTGCTTGAAGGCAGCTGTGACGAAATATGGGAAACACCAGTGGTCCCGTAATTCATTACTACTACATAGGAAGTCAGCAAAGCAATGCAAAGCCCGTTGGAATGAATGGTTGGACCCAAGTATAAAGAAAACAGAGTGGAGCCTTGAAGAAGACGAGAAACTCTTGCATCTAGCAAAATTGATGCCAACTCTGTGGCGAACCATTGCACCTGTCATAGGACGAACAGCAGCACAGTGTTTGGAACGTTACAAGTACCTGCTGTAAGTATGTCTTTGTAAGACATAGGATTGATACTTAGTATGTGGCCTTTTATTTGTATAAAGTAGGTCTGACTTGTAAAATGTAGTACTTGTTACCTAATTTTGTAGATCACAATACTAAAGAGCAAAATTGGGTCTTCTGTGTACATCCTATATATAAAAGAAAAATAAAGCTGTCCCTGTTGTGAGACGTTGAGATTCCAACAATTTCTAGACAGTCGTCTCACAGATGGCAGTGAGGTTGTCAGCCTTACAGGCTGACCACCCTTTAACTGCAGGAAGATTTCTGGTACTCATTTATGTTAGAGGCTGAGTTGACCTCGGGGCCGTTGTGCAGCTGGTAGGATTTGGTCAATTGAAAAATTCAGTGACCTCATCGGAAGACAAACCCACGACCTTCCAGCTTTTAGCATAGTGTCTCAACCAACTACGCTACCACATGCCCCCAGCCTACAGTCATTCGTTTATAATTTTCATTATTTATCACACTGGAAATTTAAGCTAAGTGTAAATGAGACTAGCTCTTTCTAATGGTCCCAATTCAGGGAGAACATATTCTCCCTTACACATATAGATGGAAACAGATTCAGGTTCCAAAAACACCGTTTGGAAAAACTCAGTAAGGTTAGTCAGCCATAAGGTTGTCAGCCTTGCTCA